TTACAAGCTGGAATCTTGAAATTTCATGAATTACGAGGTGAAGTGAGCGTTACAGCTTGTACCATGTGACCGCTGCAGCTCACACCGAACCAGATAAAAATGGCAGTGCTTGCAGTAGTAAATTTAAAAAACTGTTATTTAATAATATTTATGTTTTAAAAATCGTGTAATTGACTTTTGCCAATGTAAACTAATTTCTTATACAAAAGTAATTTGAACAAAAACGATATTTCAAAATGCTAATGATTAAATGGCTTGAGCAGGAAATCACGTGAATGTAGAATACGGTCAGCATCCTCGAGGTCAGCTAGGTTTAATCATAGGTGCCTCTGAAGGATGACCATAAAACCCATGGCCTTACCCACAGCCTGGGCTGCTCACTTCGTCGCCATCAGTGCAGATCCTTAATGGCATCCGCAGTGAGGGCAGATGCCATTTTTCGACAGAAAACTAACTTAACTAGTAGTAAACTAGTAGTTTACTGAGAGTAGTGGTGGAAGCAGTCCCCGGGGAAGGAGACTGGGGAAGGGGGTGACCGTTGGGGTTGGCGGAGCGGCAAGACGACGCTCTCGTCACTGGGAGGTAGAGTAGACGATTCTGACGCAATTGGCGTGAACATCGCCTTTTATACTGCCTCGCGAGTATTTGTATACGATGCATGCTTCACTTCATTTGGCTAGTCAATTGGACTGCCATGAGCCAATAAGACTTCAGGAAAGGTTAGAAGGGAAGGTATATATCCCCATAGCAGTAGCACCGCGGTGTCTCGAGACAGCTTGAGAGGGAACTCAAAGCCTACAAGCTGTAATAACGAGCTGTAGGAGGACGTGAATGCTTTTTACAAGCTGGAATCTTGAAATTTCATGAATTACGAGGTAAAGTGAACGCACCTTGAGCGTTACAGCTTGTACCATGTGACCGCTGCAGCTCACACCGAACCAGATAAAAATGGCAGTGCTTGCAGTAGTAAATTTAAAAAACTGTTATTTAATAATATTTATGTTTTAAAAATCGTGTAATTGACTTTTGCCAATGTAAACTAATTTCTTATACAAAAGTAATTTGAACAAAAACGATACTATTGTGCATTCTCAATCTCAACGCAACTGAATTATTCAGCATTCTGAATGAATCATTTCAAATATGAATCACTCAGTAAGTGACTAACTTAATCTCAAAGTATTAAATGATTTGATTGTAACAGCCAGTTAGTGTTTTATTATAATTAAATTTTTTGATCAAATGCAAGAATTTGACTTGAAAGATGACACATACATCTAGCAATTTTAAAAAAATGTTAAGGTCAGGTAAATAACGACTTTGGGTAAATAGGCAGATTTAAAAATATGCTGATTTAAGTATGTAAAATATGATAGAAAACTGATAAGAATATTGCTTCCAACACCAAAAATCTTGGACAAGTAACTATTTTTACTCGGGCAAGTGACCGATTTACTTGTCCAAAGGACAAGCACATGACAAGGCTTAATGTCAAGCATTTTTTAATTAAAATGTGAATTTTGAAATAATTAACATCATGCACATTTTTTTTCTCCAGTTTTAACAAAGTGTTGTATCATTTCTAAACTAAACAACAAACATATATAATCACCTGTGTGTATAATCAGGAATGTAATCAGTTGGAGACACAAATTTAAGTATGAATAATCTTACCAACCTGGAGTTGATGAAGAGCATCTGAAGAGTGATTCTCTCTGGCTGAAGTACTGCTCTATTTATATGCACCATTTTGTATCCCCCTGAGATACAACCATATATATTAGTGCTGTCAAACGATTAATCGCATTCAAAATAAGAGTTTTTGTTTGCATAATATATGTGTGTGTTCTGTGTATATTTATTATGTACATTTAAATACACATACATACAGTATATATTTTGAAACTATTTACATGTATTT